TTTTTGATTGATTGATTGATTGATTGATTGATTGATATGAGGGGGGGGGGGTGGCGCCTCCCCCCCGCGATTACACACACACACACACACACACACAGAGAAATGGGCGCGGCCTTATTTTTTTTATTTTTTTTTTTCCTTTTGATTGATTGATTGATTGATTGATGTGAGGGGGGGGGTCGCCTTCGGCTCTGAAGCGAGTGATAGATGTCAGAGGCTTCTTGGGAGCCTGTGGATTTTGGAGGATTTTTATTCCTTATTTTGCTACCCTTGCAAAGCCCATAAGAGAAATAGTGAGATAAGGGACTGACCTGTCCTGGACTGAGAAGAGATAAATTTTTGTTAAAGCTTTACAAGAAAAACTAAAAAATGGGGATGTAGTGTTGGGGGTGCCCTTCTATGACGATGAAGAGAGAAGACCCTTCATGGAGGACCAGTAACTCTCGGTGGTGTACTTGTTCAGAAATATGAGAATAAGAAAAAGAGACCTTTAAGATTTGAGAGCATAACCCTTAACTCTACAGAGAGAGGCTACACATGGTTTATAAAAGAGTTACAGACAATCATTCACCGCCTCAGGTGCTTCAGGCACTATATACTTGGAAAGAGATTCATTCTGAGGACATATGCATCTACTGTGATATGTGCTATTAAAAAACATTAACAAGTAGATGCATATGTCTTTTAATAACACATATGTAAGATGAAGATGTCCTCATATGCATCTACTGTGATATGTGTTATTCAAGTGGATAGTGACAGATGGCCTAAGCCGAATTGAATGGAGAAAAGATGAAGATGAAGATATTAATGGGACGATTGAATAATTTGTCTATGTTGATAACTTCCTGAATGAGGAGGACGATGAAGATTATAAGGCTCCAAGTTCCTATAATGGAGCTCATGGCCTGAACAAAGGGACGGTTGGGGAGAAATCCCCGATGCTTATGTCTATGAATTAATTCTTGAAAAGGACGAGGAGGAAAAATAAAACGATTGATATGCTAAAGTCAATGCCGCATATGTGGTTGCTCATGAACTGGGAGAGAGTTCCGGTTCAAAGAATGAAGAAGAGATTGAGAAGAGAGAAGAAGAGATATAATTCATCTTTGAATAATATGATGGGAGTTACCAAAAGATTGGAAAGAAGATGGAAAGAAAACAACTAAAGGAATATTACTGCGAAAACTCAAGCAAGATGTTCAAACTAAAAAGAGGACATCTCCTCATGGATGGCAAGGGAGGCTTACCTCCACTAAGAGTT